TTCAAATTATTTAATTTTGATACTTTCAACAAATTCTCAGAAAAACTATTGCTGATTGCTTTGATTCGTATATGTACATTCCCTTGAATTGACCAGCATCAGATGTGTTCATTTTGTGACAATATCTTTAATTACATACAGGCTGCTTGTTTATTTGCTACTTCGCTACAGGACCAATAATATTTAGAACTCTACTTCATCAATTCTGTAGTGTAGTGTAGTGTGGTGTAGGGTGGTGTGGTCTGGTCTGGTGTGGTCTGGTGTAGGGTGGTGTGGTGTGGTGTAGGGTGGTGTGGTGTGGTCTGGTGTGGTGTAGGGTGGTGTGGTGTGGTGTAGGGTGGTGTGGTGTTCCGGTTGTGTGGTGTAGTGTAGTGTGGGGTATGGTATGGTGTGGTGTGTGGTGTGGTGTGGTGTAGGGTGGTGTGGTGTAGGGTGGTGTGGTGTAGGGTGGTGTGGTGTTCGGGTTGTGTGGTGTAGTGTAGTGTGGTGTATGGTCTGGGTGGTGTGGTGTGCGGTGCAGATACATAATTCTTGACAATGTAAAATTGACCCCAATACATCATTCTATTTCTTAATTTATTGTAGGTGGTAGAAGATCGGGGATTACATTGAACCACATTCTGAAGTTTGTTACATGTGACTACCATGAGCCAATTTTAGGATATAGAGAAGGTCCTTCATTATCGTTCTATGAAAAGCCAAAAGATGCATTATTCTTTCCTACTGCAAACACCTGTATTAATATGCTGAAGCTCCCAAGAGCATGTCTTGATCAACAACTTCCAGAAAAAAAAATACTGTTGGGCCTGTATGATGAAGCCTTTTTAAACCATTTTTTTGGAAATATATAAAATGTTGCTTCTTTTAATTTACTTTTTCCCAGCATGATATACTATGACTACATTAATCACTTTTTAGCTCCGCTGTCGACTTTGTCGAGCGGGGCTTATCATATGAGTAATTTTCCGTCGTCCGCGTCAACTTTTAGCTCCGCTATCGACAAAGTTGACACAGCTGTTCATATTACTGATTGTCCGTCGTCATCAACTTTACAACCTCAACTTCTTCTTCAAAACCGCAAGTTAGAACGTTTTTTAATTTGATATGCTAGTACCTTTGATGGTTCTTTCTCAGATTTGTTGAGTTCATGTCAAAATCTCATTTTTGGTGAATATTTTTGGGAAAAAGTAAACTTTTCGACTTCTTGTAAAAAACCGATTACTTTGATATTACATATATAGGTACTACATGTGTACCTCTCTCAGATTTGTTCATTTCATGATGATATCTTAAATTCTCTAACTTTGATGAATATTGTTGTCATTTTTGGTGAAAAGTGATATTTTTGAATTCTTGTTGAAAACAGTCCGATTGCTTTGATACTATACATATTGTTCATTTTCTAATGATATCTTCTGTTCTTTAATTGAAATGTTCATTGCTAACAGCGGGGCTATCTCAGCCGTCAGGCTGCTTGCTTTTTTTACAAAAAGAAATAATTGTTTTTTTAGTCCTATTAGCGTGATCGCAAAAACTAACCTGACCGCTAAAAAAATCCCGACTGGACGCATCTGCGGGTATTTGACTGATATTAATTATTCATGATGTCAATGATTATTCATGAGTGGGTGTGTGAAAGTAAACGTGTCCTTTTAAAGGTTGATTCGATTCGATCGCAGAGATGGATGCTCGTCAACATCTTTTAATTAGCATAATCACTGGAGTGATTCCGCTCCAGTTTTCATTCCAACGCAGGGGGTCGCCTGCAGATGCATCCAGTCGGGATTACTTTCGCAGTCGCGTTAGTTTTCGTGATCGTGTTAAAAAGGCTGAATTGACAATTAATTATATTTTTTTTTGTAAAACAAAAAAGTCCAGAGTATAGTTTCTTATTCCCGGTTTCTAGCATTTTCTCAGAAATTATGCAGCAGATATCGATGAAACTTTGCAGGTTGATGAATAAGTCTCTGCCGAATGTGCACATAATTTTTTTTGCCAGATCTGAAAATCCTAAATGGGTCTTTTTCATGATTTTTATTCAAAATTACCTATCCCAACACCACTGAGCATGCTCAGAAAAATTAATTAGCTTAGATTGTAATGCCAGGGTTTTTAGTGATGTCATGACCTGGTCATGACCTTGATCTGAATCAGTGACAGATGGGTCGTACCATTACCAATCTCTGGAAACTGTAGAGGGGTGTAATGGTTACATTTTGAGGTGATTTATAGTGGTGATACAGAAACAAACCAAGGTCCTGGTAATATACAAAGACCTGAATTAACAAAAAAGTCAAGTTATTATTAAAGGTACATCAAGGTTTACTCAGATTTATGAATGCAGTTTTTTGAGCATGTATGAGACATAGTTTGGTTGCACTTTGGTTGTACTCTGAGATTTTGGACATGGGTCAATGGAAGTTGTTTGGAGAGGTTCCATGTATTATTTCAACATGAGTATTTTATAATTAAATGACGAGAACTGAAATTCATGTTTTGTTTTCTTTTCTTGTGAAACTTTACAGTGGTTTTGACTCCCGTGAAGCACACAATGGAAGTCTTTGCGGTTAGTCTGTATGTGTATGTGTGTGTGTGTGTGTCCGTCCATTCCACTGATATCTCAAGAACCGCATGTTGGTTTTCAATGAAACTTGGTACATAGATGCTCTGGGCTAATGCGCAATTCTGAATAGGTTTTGGTTGAACCTGATTTGCCATTCTCCGTCGCAGAGACTATGGGTCTTTTATCGCTAAGCTAGGAAGTCGCCAATGAACGTCCCACTAGTCTCTGCCACAAGCTTATTTAAATACTAATGACCGGACCTACTTTTTGCTTTGCCATGAGTGCATTCGCGTCTCTCCCTGGGGGTGCCCAAGCGACGTGACAGGGAGTAGATGTATTTGCTGTTGCTATGTGAGCGAAACTCGTATAAAATGTATACATTTATTTTGAAATCACGCCCACTAGCATTTTATGTTTGAGAAAATTATCTAAACACCTTTTTACACATCGATTTTGTAGTTTGTTATCTTTTTCCCAAAGTTGCCCAGTTGTCACGTCACATAGCAGTAGAACGAAAACTGGGCAGGCCCGAGCCGCCCGCGTTACCTCGAGGCAACAACGCGAACGCACCTACGATTTGAACTGACTATTCACATCTACGTCTACTACCGCATGATTTACTTTTCATTTAACATTTTGAAAAAAATTAACCACTGAATGTAAAAATGTTTGATATATTTATTTAAAATAACACACATTTTTTTTCAACAGAAGCTTAGGATATAAGAAACAAGTTTTAAAAAAAAACGCGGAATACCAACAATTTTGGTGTAAAATGTTGCCTGTGGCAGAGTCTAGTTGCGGCTCTCTGTGGCTCCCTAGGTCACGAAGACTCTGCAAGCGAGAGTGCTGATTTGCATGATAATTAGCTAATTTTTAACTGTTCCTTGACTGTTCCACTGATATCTAAAAGGCCATTCTTTGGATTTTGATGAAACTTGGCACATAGATGCTCTGGACTAATGCACAGATTTGATTAGTTTTTGGTAAAAATTCATGCATATAATTCTCCTAATTTGCATAATGATTAGTAAATTTTCGGCTCTTCCTCTTATGTCTCTGGTACTAATCATCACATTTCAATGGAACTTAGGACAATGCACAGACAGATATGTGAAATATTAATTACCTAATTTTGCATAATTAATCAATTTTCGGCTTTTGATATTTCAAGTACTATTACTTCATTTCGTTTCAATGAAACTTGGTACATAGATGATCTAGAACATCGCAGAGACCTGATTAATTTTGGTAAAACTGCATATTAATCAACTAATTTGCATAATTAGTTAGTTTTCGGCTTTTACACTGATATTGCAAGTACTAATTGTCTCGTTTCAATGAATCTTGGTACATAGATGTTCAAGGACAATGCACAGACCTGATTAGTTTTGGGTTAAAATCAGATCATATTAACCTAATTTGCATAATAATTCATATTTGTTGGTTCTAATCACATTTCAATAAAACTTCGTACATAGATGGTCTAATTAGTTTTAGGTTTGTACACATCAATAATAATTACCTAATTTGCATAATAATTTACTTTTCAGCTTACTGCTAATTCAGTCAGGATTACTCATCACATTATAATTAAATTTTGTACATGTGAGTTCTGAAACTATATACAGACCTGAATCTATATTGATTATCTATTAGCCTATTTCTGATATCTAAAAAACTCAGATTTAAATTGAAATTGTCAAGAAGTGCTCTGGAAACAATTAGACTAAAAACCATGGATGAAAATTTTGATAATGTGAATCACATTGTTTTCATGTCGTGCATCTCAAATAGCAGACAAATCTTAGTTGCCACACTTCTGGTTTGAAAAGCAAATTTTTAATTAATTTTAATGTGTCTCCAATACTCTCAGCACACGGGAGTTCTTTCTAAGCTTCCTTTGATTGTGTTATGGCATATGTATAATGATTGTTACTATGTTTAAATAGTGGTATTCAATGTTTACTTTGTTGCAGTGAATAAGTAACAATGGTTACTGTATTTAGATAGAGATGTTCTACGACTACTATTTAAAAATTATTGTGACATTTTTTATATTGGTTACTGTGTTATGATGAATATGTAACAATAGTTACTATGTTTAGATAAAGATGTTTAATTGTGACATTTTTTACATTGGTTACTTTGTTATGATGAATATGTAACAATAGTTACTATGTTTGGATAAAGATGTTTAATTGTGACATTTTTTACATTGGTTACTGTTTTATGATGAATATGTAACAATAGTTACTATGTTTAGATAAAGATGTTTAATTGTGACATTTTTTACATTGGTTACTTTGTTATGATGAATATGTAACAATAGTTACTATGTTTGGATAAAGATGTTTAATTGTGACATTTTTTACATTGGTTACTGTTTTATGATGAATATGTAACAATAGTTACTATGTTTAGATAAAGATGTTTAATTGTGACATTTTTTATATTGGTTACTGTGTTATGATGAATATGTAAGAATAGTTACTATGTTTAGATAAAGATGTTTAATTGTGACATTTTTTACATTGGTTACTGTTTTATGATGAATATGTAACAATAGTTACTATGTTTAGATAAAGATGTTTAATTGTGACATTTTTTACATTGGTTACTTTGTTATGATGAATATGTAACAATAGTTACTATGTTTGGATAAAGATGTTTAATTGTGACATATATTACACTGGTTACTGTGTTATGATGAATATGTGACAATGGTTATTATGTTTAGATAAAGATGTTTAATGATTCAGTTACTTTGTTATGTAACTTTAACAAAACAATATTTCTTGAACTTAGTAATTGAGAAGGACTGCAATTACTTGGTTACAGTATCATGAATAAAGAATGCATTGAGAATTCCCACTCTGTATTTAGTATGTCTATCACTAGCAGTGATTCACAATTAATGGGCTGCTTGTGGCTATTCCTACTTTGTGAAACAGAGGGACACG